TGGAAGTGCATCAGTTACGTATTTTAACAATCTTTTCAATATTTTAACCAGTGTTTTTGTAATGTCATTGGCAGGGTGATGTAGGGTATATGTATCACAGGGAAGATAAAATGATGTATCAGCTTAAAAACTTTGTATTTTATATATTTGTGTTTATTTTCACATTTATGTATGTTTAGTTGTATGAAACAGTCCTAAACTCAGAATTATTTAGACAACAATATACCATGGATATTATCTTATTTCTGTGATTAATTTATGTATTCTGATCAACATCTGTTCCTTAAAACCAGATTTATTCATCGATATGCATATAGTAACTAAACCAAGCACTGTTTAACCAGGAGTAGTACTGGTTATGGATATATAGAGAGTTTTCCATATCATTTAGATTATTGGCTTAATTTTGAACTTGAAAAAAAAATGTTTATTTTTGAGAGACAGAGAGAGCACGAGCTGGGGAGGGGCAGAGAGAACAGGACAGAGGAACCAAGGCAGGCTCTGTCCTGATAGCAGAGAGCCCAATGTGGGGCTCGAACTCATGAACCATGAGATCAAGACCTGAGCCAAAGTCAGATGCTTAACTGACTGAGCCACATCAGCACTGACAAGTAAGGAACATCTTTGGTGACCCTGGTGTTCCTTAATGTACTTTTTACTAATATTTAGTAATTTCCCCTTATTAGCCAGATGACACATTTCCTAAGAATGTATATATTTTTTGTTCTAGGAAAGAGACACCTTATACTTTATCTCTTCAAGTTAAAGGAAAATAATATTAACTATGTTGGTTCTAGATTTTTACCCTTGCCAGGTCTGTACTTTAGTTTATGGTGTTGATAGCTTATAATATCAGCCTGTAAAACAAGATGTTTATCATTGCCATGATCATATGGTATATCACATTGACCACTGTCACCTTGCCCATATGGTATAAACTTTCGAGGGTAATTTCATTGAAATGAAGGGCATTTTTGATACATTTTACTATATATTATTATTTCTTAGTTTTTAAGCATTGGCTTTATAGTAGTAAAACCATCTTTTAGTGGGAATTTAGTTGTGCTAGGCACTGTACTGATTTACTTGCTTTAATTCCATATCAGTCCTGCACAGATGTATCATTCCCCCCTTTACTGATGAGGAAACTGAGATGTGGAGAAAGTTCAATAAACTGAACAGAGTTACACAGCTAGTGAGTGATATTTTTAGGTGTCAGATCAGGTCTCCTGGTTGCAGATCTCAAACCTAACCACTTGCTCCGTGGGTCCTAGTGTTGGCTGCTTTTAACGGTCCTTGCACATTTTAGAGCTATTATATGGCTAGTATTTTTTATAATTAACATACCTCATTTTTACCAACAAAATTATATACCAATAGAAATGTTACTGAACATTTTTTCTCCCAAATGCTCTATTTCTCCTTAGCACAAGGGTTTTGTTTCATTTTTAGATTGTTACATTTTTTTCTTTTTAAGATAAGTATCTGTCAGGGGCACCTGGGTGGCTCAGTCGATTAAGCATCCAACTTCAGCTCAGGTCAATGATCTCAGGGTTCACAAGTTTGAGCTTTGTGTCTGCATCAGGCTCTCTGCTGTCAGCAGGAGCCTGCTTGGATCCTCTGTCCTCCTCTCTCTCCACCCTCCCCCGCTTGAGTGCTCTCTCTCTCTCTCTCTCTCTCTCTCTCTCCCTTAAAAATAAATAAGTAAATGTTTTGTTTTTTTTTAAGTTTATTTATTTATTTAGAGAGAGACAGAGAAAGCACGAGTAGGGAAGGGGCAGAGAGAGAGGGAGAGAGGGAGAATCCCAAGCAGGCCCCGCGTGGTCAGTGCGCAGAGCCCGATGTGGGGCTCAAACTCATGCAACTGTGAGACTGTGACCTGGGCCAAAATCAAGAGTCGAATTCTTCAACGTTTATTTATTTTTGGGACAGAGAGAGACAGAGCATGAACGGGGGAGGGGCAGAGAGAGAGGGAGACACAGAATCGGAAGCAGGCTCCAGGCTCTGAGCCATCAGCCCAGAGCCTGACGCGGGGCTCGAACTCACAGACCGCGAGATCGTGACCTGGCTGAAGTCGGACGCTTAACCGACTGCGCCACCCAGGCACCCCAAGAGTCGAATTCTTAACCAACCGAGCTGCCCAAGGCGCCCCAAAAAAATAATTTTTTTTTTTTTTTTTTTAAAAGCATCTGCCATGATGACTGTAATTGACATCAGTGTTACTGGAATGTCATTGTCATCAAATAAGTGGGTTTGGGACGTTTGACTTTTTGTGAAAGAAAATGGATAATTTGGCCCTAAGACCTTTACGTTTATTTTCGCAAAATAAGTAGAATCGTTTTCTGGCCCAAAAGATTTGAACAGTCATTTTCTCGTTATTACAAAGTATAATAATGATTCTGTTCATTAAGCAGTAATTACTGATGTAAGCCAGCACCTCTTCTGTGGGACTCTGACTCTTCTCTGGGGACTGCACGTGTGTGACATGTGGCCTTTGTGACATGCATGCTCAATCCATAGAGTAGATATTAGTAGAGCTTAGTTTTTCTAAGTATGACAACAAACAGAAGTAAATGTTCTAGTATTTTGTTTCTGTGCCCCAAGAGGTCTTGTGTAACCACTTGGACGTGTCCGCACTGTGAATCATTAACCTAGAGCAGCGATTGGCAGACCTTTTCTATAAATAAAGGAATAATTGATGGAGAGGATGTCACACATATGTGTCTGAGACAATGGAAAAATACCATAACACAGTTCTCAGGGTGGTGTCCCAAGACTGCATTATGAGGAGGGGCCCGGGAGACACCAGCCTGAGACTCAGGATTTCTTTTCTTGCTTATTGCCTATGGATCAGAAGAGGATTTCATCAGAGAAGTTTGTAGATTTTTGTTGTATGAATATCAGCAAGCATCTAGATCGAGAGGCAGGTTCTATGCAGAGAAAGGTCAATAAAATTAAAGTAAATCAAGGGAATCATGAAGACTCAGAGGAATTATAATATGAAAGAAATGTGATATCAGAAAGAATATGATATCAAAGAAAATCTGAGTATAGCGGAAACGTCAGTTATGTAAATTTAATCAAATTCCCAAATTAAGAAACGTCATTATTTATTAATGGAATGTAAGAAAATACTAATAGGGCCCCAGAGACAGTTGGTTTAGGAACCACTCTTCTGGAATTTTAAGCAATTTTTGTCCAAATGTCCTGTCCACCTTTAAGATTTTATGCCATACTTTTATTAGAAACTCTCATTTGTAGATTTTTGAGGGTTTGTATTTTATTTATTTTATTTATTTTATTTCTTGGGTTCTTTATGACTTTTTTAATTTAATGATTCGATGTGTAGATTAACCAGCGCCCCTAATAATCTAGGCTGTGTGGCACTGGGCTCTACAGACATTTTTTTTTTTTAATATATGAAATTTATTGTCAAATTGGTTTCCATACAACACCCAGTGCTCATCCCAAAAGGTGCCCTCCTCAATACCCCTCACCCACCCTCTCCTCCCTCCCACCCCCCATCAACCCTCAGTTTGTTCTTAGTTTTTAACAGTGTCTTATGCTTTGGCTCTCTCCCACTCTAACCTCTTTTTTTTTTTTTTTTTTTTTCCTTCCCCTCCCCCATGGGTTCCTGTAAGTTTCTCAGGATCCACATAAGAGTGAAACCATATGGTATCTGTCTTTCTCTGTATGGCTTATTTCACTTAGCATCACACTCTCCAGTTCCATCCACGTCGCTACAAAAGGCCATATTTCATTTTTTCTCATTGCATCTACAGACATTTTTACCCGTATGTTTAAACTTCCTCCAACGTGCACGAAGTCTTTTTCACTGAGGAGTGTTATAAACTACCTATTCACCTATTCCCCTGACCCAACCCCTTTTTCTTGGCATGGGGAGTAGGATTGCTGCCATTTCTTCAAATGAATTTTAATAATATATTTTCACGGTTTTATTTATATTTTCATGTTCCCTATCACGATACTCGACTCCTATTTCTTTTTCTTTTTTTAATTTTTTATTAAAATTTTTTTAATGTTTATTCATTTTGAGAGAGAGAGAGAGAGAAAGGTCAAGCAAGGGAGGGGCAGAGAGAGAGGGAGAGAGAGAATCCCAAGCAGGCTCCACACTGTCAGTGCAGAGCCCATTGTGGGGCTCGATCCCATGAACTGTGGTATCATGACCTGAGCCAATATCAAGAATTGATGCTTAACTGACTGAGCCACCCAGGCACCCCTCTTTTTCTTTTTTTAAAATAAAGTTTATTTATTTATTTTGAGAGAGAGAAAGGTAGAGAGAGAGAGAATCCTTAGCAGGCTCTATGCTAACATCGCAGGACTAATCTCACAAACCATGAGATCATGACCTGAGCTGAAATCAAGAGTTGGACGCTCAACTGACTGAGCCACTCGGGTGCCTCCCTATTTCTTTTTCTGTGTGTATTTCCTGAAGAATAATTGATCCGCTTCCCACCGTGGAATTTTCTGGTCTTCCTTCTCAACAATCAGTTATCCTGCACAAACCCTGCTATATTGCTGAAGCTTTCCCTGCCACTTAAGGTGCCACTTCTTAATTGCTATAGGACTAATTATTTGCATTTGTCATTGGCCATTTGGCATATGCAGCCTTACGTTTCATCTTTTTAACGTGTCTGTCCAGCTCCTTGACCGCAAGGACTGCCTTCGGTAGCCCTTTGAGTCCATATGTGGTGCCCTGTGACCTCGCTCATGCCGCCCTAGAACTTCTGATTGTAGTCAGAGGGAGGGGCGATACCTGTGTCAAGCAGAAGACCTTTCTGTTCTCCCTCTTTGTGGAAGAAAGAGTTCTAAAATTGGCTTTTCTCATTTGTCTCAGTGGACTGAGTAGTCTCATTTGTTCAGTAGTGAAAACCATTGTCACCAGTTGCTGTTCACTTGAAAAATACTTTGAAATGTATATTCTCTTTTTGTTTAAGTTACCCTGTAAGGACTGTTAGGCCTGTTTTCCTGGGTTCTAGGTTTCTTCGACTTTGTAACTCCCCAGTGTTTGCTGACCTGCTCATTTCCAGAGGTCCCTCAGTCAGTGGAAACTGAGCTCACTCATGGACTAAAAACAAAATACAGGGATTTTGATACAATTAGCAGATTGAACTGTTGATATGAAGGGAAGTATTTTTTTTTCAGAGATGTAATTACTCATAATAAAACTCTGAGTAAGTTGTCAGCAACTAGTTCAAACTAGTGGTTCAGTTTTACCACTATATTACTATTATTATTATTCTTCAGATACCTTAAAACTCTTGGTTCTCTTAGCTACCAATATTGATGCCTGGCAAATCTCGATTCATCTTATTTTTTAAGTTTATTTTGAGAGAGAGAGCACGCAGAGGGGAAGGGAAGAGAGAGAGAGAGAGAGAGAGAGAGAGAGAGAGAGAGAGAGAGACTGAGAATCCCAAGCAGGCCCCGAGCTGTCAGTTCAGAGCCTGATATGGGGCTTGAACTCACAAACCGTGAGATCATGACCTGAGCCAAAATCTAGAGTCGGACGCTTAATCGACTGAGCCACCCAGGTGCCCCTTGATTAATTTTTAAAAATCAGCTAGCTTAACAGTTATACTAATGTTCATGTATGCCATCTTTATTCTGGTATGTGTCATAACTCATTAATTTTGCGTAACAGAGAATAGCTACCTCTGCCCTATCCCGATATTACTCACAGATACTCTCACCGTGGCCACTGCTATGAGCTTACTACAGAACCTTCGCACATCTCGGCTGGCTGATGCATTAATATTCTGCTCTCCTCATCCACTGGTTTCTCCAATTCTTATTAGACACTGTGGCAGGTAGATCTTTTCAAAGAGTAGTGCTAATAGATCCTTCTATTTTGGGAGCTCTCTAGTGCTTGCTTAAAGCATAAAATTGTTAGCATCACTCAAAGCCAATGCAGACTGGCCTTTCACTGCTGTCCTACATGAACCAGTTGTATTTATCTATTTATTTATTATTTTTTAAATGTTTTAAATGTTTGTTTCTGAGAGAGAGAAAGACAGAGACAGAGACACAGCCTGAGCAGGGGAGGTGCAGAGAGAGGGAGACACAGAATCTGAAGCAGGCTCCAGGCTCTGAGCTGTCAGCACAGAGCTGGATGCAGGGCTTGAAGCCACAAGCTGTGAGATCAGGACCTGAGCCGAAGTCGGATGCTTAACTGACTGAGCCACCCAGGTGCCCCTGAACCAGTTGTATTTATTTTTTTAAAATTTTTTTTTCCTTTTTTTTCAACGTTTATTTATTTTTGGG